GATGATTCCTTTGTACATGTAGCTGGTCTCAAGGTAATCACACAATTAACCAGTTAATTGCATGATAATGTGTAGAGGAGGCTCTAATTTTATGTTAGCATTACATCCCAGCCTGCATGGTGGCAAATCGGGCCCTTTGTTTCTTAAGGAAGATTTTCTCACTCCAATTTTTGTTCTCAAGGAAATAACTCCTGTAAAAAGAACATTATGGCCTCCAGCAAAAGCTGACTCAGACTGTAAGGCAGGAAGCACTATAAAGGAGTACTTTCAAAGGTGCATCTAAATCCTACTAAAAAGTCTAGGAGAATTTGGCACCTAATTTCCACTCATGCTTGTCAGGGGTACAGCTGGGACACAGGCAGTCAGGGCTTGACCTTAGAGGGTCACAACTCAAGGGAGTATGAAGAGACTTTGTTGGGAAACAAGGGTTTCACTTAGAGCCAGGAGATCCAGAGGCCAAGACCTGTAAGGGACCAAGACATGGGTAGTCAGCACGATAGTCACAAGTTCTAGGGGAAGGAAGAGTTGGAGGGGGAGGTCAGGAACAGGAAGCAGGGATCCAGTCACAGAGTCACTAGCCAGGGGCTGCAGAGCAGACGGGTGTAGCTGTATGGGATGTGGACACGAGCAGATGCCAAACTAAGCCACAAGTCAGAAGCTGGCTGTCGAAGGACAGGTGTGGGTTGGAATTGGGAGCTGGAAAGTCTGAAACACAGGGGTCAGGACAGGCAGAAACAAGGATGAAGCCAGGGAGCTGGAAGCCCAGGGCTGGACTGAGAAGTATCTATCATTTTGAGTAGCCACTTGGCCACTGAAAGTGCTGCTGCTTAAAACCATGTAGGTGCTTGGGGCCAGCTGGAAGTTGTTTGAATTGCTGGCAGATAGACCTAGTAGAGTCAGCCTGGAAGGGGAAAAGCCAAAGGTCATGAGATCAAGGTCAAAAGGCCAAAGGTCACAGGGCCAAGGTCAAAGGTCATGAGGTCAAGGTCACAAGGTCAAAGGCAAGGCATTCAAAAGGTCAATGGTCTTGGGGTCAAGGTCAAAGGTCATGAGGTGAAAAGGCCAAAGGTTGCGGGGTCCAGGTCAAAAGGCCAAAGGTCATGGGGTCAAAAGGTCAAAGGTTCCAAGGTCAAGGTCAAAAGGTCAAAGGCCGTGGGGAAAAGGTCAAAGGTCACGAGGTCAAGGTGAACAGGTCAATGTTGTGAGGTCAGCGCCACAAGGTCAAAGGTAATGAGTTAAAAAGGTTAAAGGTCACGGGGTCAAGGTCAAAGGTAACAAGGTCAAAAGGTCAAAGGTCACTCAACCGGTCAAAGATCGTGGGGTCAAGGTCAAAGGTTGCAAGCTCAAGGTAAAAGCTCAAAGGTCACGAGGTCAAAAGGCGAAAGGTCACAGGGTCAAGGTCAAAAGGCGAAAGGTCGTGGGGTCAAGTTCAAAAGGTCACGAGGTCAAAAGGACAAAGGGAGCAAGGTCAAGGTCAAAAGGTCAAAGGCCACAAGTTAGAAAGGTCAGAGGTCACGGGGTCAAGGTCAAACGGTCAAAGGTCGTGGGGTCAAGGTCAAACAGTGGTTTGAACTGTTTTGAAATGGTTCTGACTGGTTTGGATTGGTTTCTGCTGGTTCGAACTGGTTTAACTGGTTCTGACAAGTTTGAACTCTTCTGAAATGGATTGAACTGGTCCCGACTGGTTTGTAGTGGTTTGAACTTGTTCTGAATGGTTTGAACTGGTTCTGACTGGTCTGAACTTGTTTGAATTGGTTCCGATTGCTTTGAACTGGTTGGTACAGGTTTGAACTGGTTTGAACTGTTTCTGACTGGTTCTGACTGGTTTTTACTGGTTTGAACTGGTTCTGACTGGTTTCAAATGGTTTGTACCGGTTCTGACTGGTTTGAACTGGTTTGAAGTGGTTTGAACCTATTCCCACCAGTTTGAAGTGGTTTAAACTGGTTCTGACTGGTTTGAACTGGTTTGTTTCGGTTCTTACCATTTTGAACTGGTTTGAACTGGTTCCGACTGGTTTGAACTGTTTTGTACTGGCTTAAACTGGTTCTGACTGGTTTGAACTGTTCTGAAAGGGTTTGAACTGGTTCTGACTGGTTTCTACTGGTTTGAACTGGTTTCATAGTTTCATAGTTTCTAGGGTCGGAAGGGACCTGAGCAGATCATCTAGTCCGACCCCCTGCCATGGCAGGAAAGAGTACTGGGGTCAAACGACCCCAGCAAGGTGTTCATCTAACCTCCTCTTAAAAACCCCCAGGGTAGGAGCCTGCACCACTTCTCTTGGAAGTTGGTTCCAGACCCTAGCCGCCCTGACCGTGAAATAGCGCCTCCTGATGTCTAACCTAAACCTACCCTCTGCCAGCTTGTGACCGTTATTCCTGGTCACTCCTGGCGGTGCTCGGGGGAACAGTGACTCCCCCAATGCCTGCTGATCCCCCCTGACTAGTTTATAACAGGCCACAAGATCCCCCCTCAGCCTTCTCTTTTGGAGGCTGAACAGGTTCAGGTCCCGTAGCCTCTCCTCATAGGGCCTGCCCTGCTGTCCCCTGATCATGCAAGTGGCCTTCCTCTGGACCCTCTCCATGCTGTCCACATCCCTCTTGAAGTGCGGCACCCAGAACTGGACGCAGTACTCCAACTGCGGCCTGACCAGTGCCGCATAGAGGGGGAGGATCACCTCTTTGGACCTGCTCGAGATGCATCTGTGGATGCATGACAAGGTGCGGTTGGCCTTCCTGACTGCATCCCCACACTGCCGGCCCATGTTCATCTTGGAGTCAATGATGACTCCAAGATCCTTTTCCGCCTCCGTGCTGACAAGAGGGGAGTTCCCCAACCTGTAGGTATGGTGCCGGTTGTTCCTCCCCAGGTGCATCACCTTGCACTTGTCTGTGTTGAAACCCATCCTATTCTCATCCGCCCACCCTTGTAACCTGTCTAGGTCTGATTGTAGCCTGTTGCTTCCTTCTAGTGTGCCCACATCCCCCCACATCTTAGTGTCATCAGCAAATTTGAACAGGGTGCTTTTTACCCCCTCGTCCAAATCACTGATGAAGATGTTGAACAGTGCGGGCCCGAGGACCGAGCCCTGCGGAACCCCACTGCCCACGTCCTTCCAGGTTGAGAAGGACCCATCCACTACCACCCTCTGGGTGCGGCCCTCCAGCCAGTTGGCGACCCATTTGACTGTGTGGGTGTCTACGCCACAGCCCCCCAGTTTCTTAATGAGAACAGGGTGAGAGACAGTGTCAAAAGCCTTCTAGAAGTCCAGGAAGACTATGTCCACTGCTACCCCTGCATCTAATGATCTGGTGATCTGATCGTAAAAGGCCACCAGGTTGGTCTGACAGGACCTGCCACTGATGAACCCGTGTTGGTTGCCCCTAAGCATGCAGTCCCCTGCTGGCCCCTCCTGGATGTGTGCCAGAATAATTTTCTCGAACAGCTTGCCTAGGATCGAGGTAAGACTAACTGGCCTATAGTTTCCCGGGTCCTCCTTCCTCCCTTTTTTGAAGATGGGAACCACGTTGGCCCTCTTCCAGTCCTCCGGTACCTCTCCAGAGCACCACGAGTGCTCGTAAAGCCGTGCCAGGGGACTTGCAATGACCTCAGCCAGTTCCTTTAGAACTCTAGGGTGGAGATCATCCGGACCGGCTGACTTGAAAATGTCCAGCCCCTCCAGAAGCTCCCTAACTAAATCCTCGCTAACCCTTGGCCCAGGTGTGCCACCCCTGGGGCCCAAGAGAGGCCCAGCAGGGAGGTGGCTGTTCTGGTCCCTACTTAGGAAGACGGAGGCAAAGAAATTGTTAAACGAAATCGTTAAAAATCAGTTTGAAGTGGTTTGAACTGGTTTGAACTAGTTCTGATTGATATGAACTGGTTCTGACTGGATTGAACTGGTTCTGACTGGTTTGAAGTGGTTTGAACTGGTTCTGATTGGTTTGTACTGGTTTGAACTGGTTCTGACTTGTTTGGACTGGTTTCTACTGGTTTGAACTGGTTCTGACTGGTTTCAATTGGTTTGTACCAGTTCTGACTGGTTTGAAGTGGTTTGAACTGGTTCCGACTGGATTGAACTGTTTTTTACTGGTCTGAATTGGTTTGAACTGGTTTGTACTGGTTTGAATTGTTTTGAACAGGTTCTGACCGGTTTGAACTGGTTCTGACTGGTTTGTACTGGTTTGAACTGGTTCTGATTTGGTTTGAACTAGTTTGGACTGGTTTCTACTGGTTCAAACTGGTTTGAACTGGTTTGAGCTGGTTCTTTCTGGTTTCTACTGGTTTAAACTGGTTTGAACTGGTTATGACTGGTTTCTACTGGTTTTAACTGGTTAGGGCTGGTTTCTACTGGTTTGGACTGGTTCCGACTGGTTTGGACTGGTCTGAACTGGTTTGGACTGGTTCTGACTGATTTGAACTGGTTTCTACTGGTTTGAACTGGTTCCGACTGGTTTAAACAGGTTTGAACTGGTTTGTCATGGTTTGAACTGTTTTGAACAAGTTCTGACTGGTTTGAAGTGGTTCTGGCTGGTTTTTACTGGTTTTAACTGTTTAAGACTGGTTTGAACTGGTTCTTACTGGTTTGAATTGGTTTGTACTGGTTTGTACTGGTTTCTACTGGTTTGAAGTGGCTTGAACTGGTTCTGACTGATTTGAACTGGTCTGAACCAGTTCAAACCAGTACAAACCGGTTCAAACCAGTCAGAACCAATTGAAGCCAGTCAGAACCAGTTCAAACAAATTTGAACCAGTTCTAACCAGTCGGAACCAGTTCAAAACAGTTCAAACCAGTAAAAACCAGTTCAAACCAGTGAGAACCAGTTCAAACTGGGTAAACCCAGTAGAAACCAGTTCAAACCAGGTCAAACCAATACATATCAGTTCAAACCAGTTGTAACCAGATAAAAGCAGTTCAAACCAGTAGGAACCAGTTCTAACCAGTTCAAACCAGCCAGAACCATTTCTAACCAGTTCTAACCAAT